TAAACAGTGACATCAACGACATATCTGGTCTGTAAAATGCCCGAAAAGTAAAAGAATGGGAGATAAATATCCCAAAGTCTCCACATTTTATTATATTTTTAATGTGCTTCTGGTCCTCTTTCAGTTGAGACAGTAGATGAAGGATGTGTCTGGATGTAGAACTCTTGTGTGAACATAGGATAAAGCCAGGTTCATATTCTTGTTTCATGTTGTTGACATATTAGAGTCAAAGGTTTGCACAGAGCGAAATATCTTTGTGTTGCGCCATAAATCAGCAAATACTGCATTAAAAAAGTAATTTCCTGCATTTTTCTACTGATAAAGTCTGATATAAATAATGTACAGGCTTTCAAATTGCTGTAGTTCACTAAACAGAGACATTAACGACAGGTTTGGTGTTGAAAATGTCAGAAAAAGTGAAAGAATGGGAGATAAATATCCCCAAATCTCAAAATGGTATTATATTTTGTGTGCGTTTGTGGTCCTCTTTCAGTTGAGACACTGTAGGTGAAGGATGCTTCAGGAAAATACCAAACACTGGATGTCTTTCAGTCTCCAACATGTGTTTTCGAGACACTGATACTAACGGGGAAATCCTGCAGGACTCAAATGCCTCGTCTCTGTTCCCTTAAACTCATTTGGGAGTGATTACCCATCAGCCCCGGGGGTGCAGAGGAAAGGACGTTGCACGTTGTTTCTCTTTCAGAAACACAGAGGACTGTTTGTATGAGGCGATCACGCTGCAAACGATGTCCACCAAAAGTCGAGTCCAGTGTCTATGGAGTGTCATTTTTATTTGTTATAGTTTGGGAAGATTGAAAATCGGTAGGGAAAGCCAGCTAAGTCGGTAGGTGGTAGAAACATGTCAAAAGCGGTAGACTACCGCCCAAATCGGTAGGGTTGGCAGGCATGGACCATGTTGATTCCCGACATGCATAGGCTATAGGCCTATAGATTTAATTTTACATACTTTTTTTATCTTATCTTTATATTTATAGTTATTTGCTCTTTTCGCAAACCAAACAACACATAACTTACCTAGCTGTGAATGAAAATGCTACTGAACTGAGCGCTTGTTAGCTTAGCTGGCACATACCTTTGAGGTGAAGGAAAGCAGGCTGCTGTCTTTATTGTTGCACTGACAACCAGTTGAATCGTGGTAGTTGTTGCATGTCAGTAAGCTGTGTACAAAGCAGAGGACACCAGTATATTTGTTAGCTTGCAGAATCCCGTTAGCTCGTGGCTAACTGCTGCTCGCTCTGGTTATATGAAGTCTTTTAGGGAAGCGCTTGCGTATTTAATGTTAAAATGAAAGAGTCCCATTTTTAGAGTCATCAGATGCGGCACTGGTCTGCGGTGGCGGGCTTCCAGCAGGCCGTTGCTGCGCTCTGCCGGCTGTGAACACTGGAGCTATGTCGAAGCATAGGGAACATAGAGTTCTGGTTTTATTGCAATGACATCATAGGTCACAGACTACGGTAACCAGTCAATACTGTACATTGAATCTTCAGGCGGAATGTACCGCATTTCTGAGTGTAGAGACAGGAAGTGGTTGTTTTTCAGACCCAAAGAGGATAATGGGAACAAAAGATCAATGGCTTAGTTGCCATGAGGAGAAGTTCCAACAATGAGAGGAAAGGTCATTTCCATTTCTAAGTCTGAGCCTATTTTATAATTATGTTGTTGGTCCAGACCTAGTGACACCCGGGTAGCTAATGCTTTACTGTTGTTCCAACCCACTGTGTGCTTTACAGTATATAGTTTAGAATATCATATATACTAGGTCAAATCTTTCCCTTGAGAATTAGTTTACAATAATCTTCTCTGATTTGTTTGACATGATGCACACAACTTCCATCCAATTGGCGACTTTGTGTATAACTTGGATCCCAAGCTTAAGCTTTAATTAGCATTAATGGGCTCAGCAAGTTTCATGGCAATGTAAGAAATAAAAATCGCTACTTCCTGTGTAGAGGTAGACATTTTTACTCTCTTTCGTTCTGTGACACACATGGACTTACTATTGAGGTCATGTTACAGATCAGTCACACAAATAGTTTCCCTTGCTATATATATTCATCAACCTGTCAACATATTTCTACCTCTGGCCAGAGCAAGAACTGCCATTACATTGCTGATAACAGAACTTGCCTGAATCATGATGTACTGTGTGTATGTGTGTGTTCTGCAGGTATGCCCCCTTTATACCCTATGAGTCAGCTCTGTATGTTCTGTGATCTGGAGCTGTCCTCCTGCAGTGGTACTGGGACCTGCATGTCCAACTGCTCCATCACATCCATCTGTGACGACAGCAACGAGGTCTGTGTCTCCATCTGGTAGGTACCTGAGAGTAGAAAACTGCCTTTAACTCTTAGATGTGATTCACTTAATAGGTTTATATATATATATATATAGTTTTAACAATTACATCTGTGCTCTGTCTGTCTGTTAGGAGGAAGAATGAGACAGGCTTCTCCATTGAAACCCTGTGTCATGACCCGTCCAAGCCGCTCTATGGTGTTATGCTGGAAGACTACAACAGCTCCACCTGTGTGATGAAGGAGAAAAACACAACGAGTGGAATGGCTCACTTCTGCTCCTGTACTGATGAGGAGTGCAACGACAAAATGTTATTCTCTCCCAGTGAGTACATGAAACAAACGCCTTTTTTGACCCCTGATCTTGTTTTCGAGTCATTTATTATTGTTGCTTTTGTTGTACTTGATTTTGCAATGATCCTCTTCACCGCTGTCTGGTAGAGAGTGGAGAGTTGGGGAGTTGACGTCAGCTACACTCGGTGAATGAATGCTTTGCAAGTAAAATCACCACAAGTAAAAATAATAATGCATTTTATTTATAGAGCGTTTTCTGGAAACTCAAAGAAACTTTAAAGAGTACAAACTCCTAAAAACATAATTAAAACAACCCTCTTACAATATATAAAACATAACATTATTTACAAATTAAAAGCAGTTCTGAAATGGTGATTTTTGATTTGCACATTGGGAGTTTGGGGCAGTCACAGATGTGTTTGTGGACTGAGTTCCAGTGGGAGGGGGCAGGGGAGAAGGCTCTGTCCCCCCAGGTTCGGTGCTTGGTCCTATGAGGGAATGACAGGAGGTTGGCTTCTGCGGAGCGGATGCAGCAGGAAGGAGTGTGGTGTTGGAGCAGGTCTGTGAGGTAGGAGGGGCCTGGTGATGGAGCAGGTCTGTGAGGTAGGAGGGGCCTGGTGATGGAGCAGGTCTGTGAGGTAGGAGGGGCCTAGTGATGGAGCAGGTCTGTGA